TTGATTGGGGGACCTACTGCGTTTAATTTGTTTGAAATTTCTTCCCAAAAATKATTCAATTCGCCTGGTGCTCTTTGCGAAAATCCTTTCGCTATGTCGGGGTGCARSTTCATTTCACTTACTAACACTTCAAATTGTTTTCTGTTGGTGTGTTTTTGTCTCTTATCTCTAAAATATCAATTTAAAATATAAAYGATTGCGTCATTAGCAATTGTTTTTAAAAATACTTACAAATTATCCATTTTTGTAAGAATTCCGCAACGCACTCACCAACGGATTAATTTCGGCACAAATTTTCGATATTGTGGTATCAATGATTTCGAATTTGGCGACATCTATGTGCCGCGGAAAGCATTTTATCAAGGCGGTAAGTGAGTTCACTTCGATCGAAAATTTTATTTTCGATACGGTTTCAATGATTTCAACGCAAATTTTTTCGATCATATCGAACCATTTTCGGATTCAATGATTAGGCCCATTATATAATAATATTACGTAATAAAGTGTAAAGTATATTAGTACAGTACGAAAATTAAATTTTTATTTCAATATGAGTGCATGGTAATCAACAAATATAACCATTTTATAACAAAAACTCAATATATTTTTTTATTTTTAACGCAGAAAGGAGTACTCCGCGAAAGTACTTCAGTCCCCGGGTCAATCTTGCATTCAGATCGTCAGTTTCAAGTGCCTCATCTTGATCTTCATCAGACAGTGCATCATCAATGAGATCCTGAATAATCATTGGGCGAGAATGTTTCGGTGGAGGAACAAGGTTACTCAAATTTTCTGTATCTACAGTAGGGACTTCTAAATTTTTTAATTCCATCCCTGTCTGTAGAATTCTATTCACATAGCCCGGGTTCACTTTTTTAATGTCCACAAGCATCTCCATTATCTGAAATCCTAGATCAACATGATAGCTCTTCTCAAGGAAGTTTTGGCGATAGTCAAAAAGAACCATGTATTGATGGAGTAGTTTTGGACTCCGACGACTTTTAATCCCGTTTCTGCATTCCAAATCGTTGATTGTGTTTTCGGGATTACCTTGCTCAACATACTCGCCAATACTGGTTAAGCAAGTGGTGTTCTCACCAAAAATTCGTTTTATTCCATGATACTGCTTTCCACCATCAGTGCAGATGCGGGTAGTATCGGGATGAACGAATTTTTTAATGTAAGGCCACAAATCTGCCTTGCTTTTTCCGTTAACCTGGAAAAAGCGGCATATTTTGTCTTCCTTACATAGAATTCCCAATACAGTAATTGTCATTTGTTCGGTTAAACGGTCACGATTGTACTTACGTTTCGTTAGAAACGTCTCGTCAATCTGCACCGTTTTTCCCTTTCCACCAAGACAAAAATCTGCATTGGAACATATAACTTCGGCTACTTCCCTAAGGTAACAATAGTAATCTACTACAGTTCCACAACTTAGGGAAGACTCGTTATTTTGTTTGCGCCAGTTATTAAGATGACCATGGAAAGTCATCACATTAACTTTCGTTACAAAGCAACAAATTATCGCCAAGATTTCCTTAGGCGCTAATTTGCAACAATTACCATCAATGTACCCTGCGCAGGATTTATATAAAGGCGACAATCTTTCGCACCTTTCTTTTTCGATGGTTTCGTATTGCACCACCAAACCCATCCTAACTTCGACTGGTTGTGCTCTTCAACCCTCATTGGATTAATACACTTAGTGCATACAGGGGGAATGGAATCTCTTGAAGGGATTAATTGAACGTCTTCAAAAAATTGTAATGACTGCTCATTCGTTTGGACTAGATGTCCAAACAATGTGAACATAGTCAATTCAGAAGCTCTGAACGCAATTATAAAT